AATTTGTGATTATGTGATGGTCTGATCTTTAACATGTTTAAACTAAGATGGAAGACATCCATCGAAGCTGCGGATAAAACTGTGATTGAAAGATATATTTATACATGATATTAATACTTGCTCTTTTAAGGCATAACTAGTGTAAGAAGGGATGAATAATGCTGTGTATACAACACAGAGGATGTAGAGCACCAGAGTCATCTTTTTGCAGGAGAACAGCACCACAACCAAAGTCAGAGCTATCAGTTTCAATAATGTACGGTTTAGAGACATCAGGAGGCTGTAAACAAGGAGCATGTGTCAATAAGAATTTCAATTGCTCGAAAGCTTTTTGACATTCCTGACTCCAAATAATACCACGACGTTTGGGACCAGTACCTTTAGTTAGTTCCGTCAGAGGAGCAGCCACCGAGGAGAACTGGCGGATAAACCTTCGGTAATGAGACGCTAAACCGACAAACTGACGAACTTCCTGTACATTGGTAGGTGTAGGCCAGTCTTGATAGCTTTTACCTTGGTGTCAGAAGGAAGAATACCATCAGCCGAGACTTTCATGCCCAAGAATTCAACCTCTTTTTGATTGAACTTGCACTTCTTAGGGTTTGCATACAACTTGAATTGTCTGAACCTCTCCAAGACCAGACGAATGTGTTCAAGATGTTCCTTTGCTGTTTTAGAGTAGACCAGAATATCGTCCAAATAGAGCTGCACGAAACGGTCAACATAACCAGACAGACATTTGTTCATCATATTTTGAAACACTGCTGGTGAGTTCCGAAGTCCGAAAGGTAGTACAAGCCATTCAAAAGCACCATAACGAGTTACAAAACAAGTTTTGGGAACATCCGAGTCTGAGAGCCTAATTTGGTGATACCCACTAGTCAGATCGAACTGAGAGAAGTATCTTGCACCACCTAATCGTTCTAAACACTCATCAATACGAGGTAATGGAGTATTCAACTTCTTGGTGCACAAAGAATTGATTATTCTGAAGTCGATGCACATTCGCAGTTCACCAGACTTCTTGCGGACAAACAAAACAGGAGCCCCCAAGGCGAAGAACTAGGCTGGATGAACCCTTTGTCTAATAAGTCTTTTAGTTGACGTTGTAGTTCGTCTAGTTCTAAAGGACTCATCTTAAAAGGGTGCTTGCAGACTGGTTCAGCATCACCAGTTTCGATTACGTGTTCAATTCCACGGTCCGGAGGCAAACCAGGAGGCAACTTATCCGTGAAAACATCTTTATACTCTGCTAAGAGCTTAGAGATAGCCTTGCAAGATTATCGCCAGTATCGACCATGTTGTGCAAGCCAGATTCCTTCACATGTACCAAGAATAACTCGTCTATGCTATTTTTGCGTAATGAACGTTGCATTTGGCGTTTGCTCATAACGTACACCAGACTTTCAGATTTAGACACCAAGTTAACTGGGGATAAGACAGTTGTACCCACACCATAAGGACCAGAGATAGACCAAGAGCTATTAGACCAGTTGGGAACAGGCTTGTATTGCTGAAACCATTGCTGACCTAGGATAAGATCAAACTTAGTATCAAATACATAAGCTTGAATCCGTTGGCCAACGCCATTTGCAGACACCGAGAACTCAACCTTATCTTTAATCACTGAGACTTGACCGTTAGCAGTTTCCACCTCGTGCTTGGTTTGTAGTGATGTCACTTTCATAGTTGCAGGATTTACCAGGGTAGGACTGATATAGTTTGAGCTTGCACCCGTATCCAAAAGTACTTGTATAGTCTTGTAGCAATTACGTGAACCATCGTTAGTAAAGATATCAAACGAGTACAGGGGCAAATCAGTTGATGCTTTATTAGACTTTTTTAGATTGAACAGATATGTATTGTCTGCTTTCAAGTCATCTGTTTCATGATCACTATCTAGTCCTAGTAAATCCTCGACATCATCACTATTAGTTGGAACAGTATTATCTTGTTTAATACTGTTGAGGGATCTTGTTTTAGAGCGTGCTTGATCTCCCTCCCCGTCAAACACGCTTACTCTTTTAAACGGTTGTTAAAAGAGTCGCCAGAACGTCGATTACCACCACCACGACTAGACCTGGGACTAGGACATTCGCCTTGCATGTGGCCCCAGCCTTTACAGTTGTAACATTGAACATCGGTATTTCTGGCGAAATTACCACTGTTAAAGTTACGGCGACCGTTATTAGACTGAGCCATTCGTCTACCAGAACCACCGTTGAGAGCATTTACCAAGTCACGAATAGCGTCCAAATCCATAGCTTCATACTGAGGTTGAGGTGTTCTCATCTTGATAGGTTGAGCTACCTCACCCTCTTCTGCACTTTCAATTGCCAAGGCGATACGTTGAGCGTCTGCCAGTGTTTTGGGAAATTGAGAGCGGACCGCATAACGTAGAGGCTTAATTAGACCTCTAATAAACTTGTCTTGAGCAACGCCCTCAGACATATCAGGAATTTGCAACAACAGACGACGGAAGTCATTGATATACTGATTTACTGTTGTAGTTTGCACCAGACTAGCCATATTATCCCGAGCCTTCGCAATGGCATCAATGGGAACAAATTCGGTACGTAGAGCCACCTTGAGTTCGTCCCAATCTTGAGGAACATGCTCTTTATTGAAAGTATTTAACTGTGAATACCACAATTGAGCATCCTTTCTCAATAAAGAGACTGCATACAACAACTTTTCTTGTGGGTGTTCGATTTTCACTAAGGAGAAATACAACTCCAAAGAGTAAATCCAAGAATTCACAGCGATAGCGTCTCTTTCACCATTATAAACCTCAGGTTCACGAACCTTACGAGCGTAACCAAACGAATTACCAGATGTCATAGAAATATCTTCGCTCATAATACCAGAAAAGACCAGAAAAATTTAACCAATGAGATACTTTTTAAACCTTTGAAACCTTGAAAATAACCAGAAAATAACCTTGAGAGACTTGCTTTAACTATTTAACTTTATAACTTGCTTTAGTGTCCTGATGCTACCAGTTGTCGTCTTTGTAGATAGATCCAATAAGTAGCAAAGCCAATAAAACTTGTAAAGTATAACCAGAGATACGTATAATAAGTCGTAGGGCTTAACTTACTATAGAGTGTAACTAATACTTAATATTTGTGTTGAAAGATGATGTTTATTTCATTGAGTGCAACTTATATTTATACTATCTATAATGTCTGAGTTGTGACTCAAGTGGAAGCTTCTAGTATTTGAAGTCGTAGCCATATAAGGGGAATGCCAGATATGGTAATGATAATCAGATAAACATCTGACTAATAATTTCCAGAACCTTCGAGCACCTGCTGGTGTCTTCTGGCCGCTTTCTTCACATTGGGCTTAAACCTAAGTTTGGGTACGACATTTGAGACATGGCATGAAGAATAGAAAATTACATCATCTGGTTTCCTCGGACCACACGTGACTATCAACTCTTATGCGACTCGGACAATACCTCTTGTGCCGGATCTTCTCTGGTGTGTACTTAAGAAGGAGGTCTTATGCATTTTATTTCTGCAATATTATAACAATAGCTTTTTGACCCGTTTATTTTATTTTATATAATTTGACCTTGCTTTTAACATTGGGAAAACTGAATTGAATAAAGAGAAATTGAAGAACAAATCAGATAGAAAAGAATCGACAATTATATTCAATATCAAAAACAGTCCTAAATCTCACACAACCACATCACACTAAGGCACCGCAAACGTATCATTGGAGGTCTCACCGAGACATATATTATATTTATCTGTTACTTATAATAACTGTCTAAAAACATCATATTTGCCTTGCCAATAAACATATAAATCATCAGAAAAACAAAAAAAAATATAGCAACAATTCGTCAACACAAGAAAAGAAGCAACAAAAAGATTTTACCTAGTAAACTACAGCAAAACAGTACTATCAAAGCAGAAAACAGCAAAATGACAGAACAGAGTAATGCATTCCTAAGATTTCTCCCACCTTTGGAGATATTCGAAGGAACGGATGATTCCAGTAAAGCAGAAGAATGGATTAGATCAGTGAAGAGATTGAAGGAATTAGCCTCAATGAACGACAATGTTATTTTGGCTATCGCTTCCTCCAATATGAAGAGCAAAGCAAGGACATGGTGGTCAACAGTAGATGAAGAAATCAAAACCTGGAAGGAATTTGAAGACAAATTCACTGCGAAATTCATGAAGAACCGAGTGATTGAAGCTTGGGAAATGATCAAAACTATAAAACAAGGAGAGCATCAAGATTGTGCTGAAGTTGTCGACATTCTGAACCCATTGTTTAAAACGGTAGACCTCACAAATAATGATTCTAAAGTTTCCTTCTTCATAGCCTCAATCAAACCAAACATAGCATATGAGTTAGCACGAGAAAAATCAACACTCAAAACATATCAAGAAGTTACAGATAAAGCCATCGAAATCGAAAAGCTACAGAAGAAGTACAAACAAGGTAATTCATCATCATCAGTAGCCCAAGAAAAGAAAGTTCAATTTGATATTGGGCGTATCGACGTTCATCACGAGAACCAGAACACCAAAACAAACAATAATAATCATAATGGATCAGACATTAGTGAGGGAAGAATATCAGCCGACTCGCTATCAGAACTCATTAATGCAGTGAACAAGCTCAATATTAATCTGGTGCAACATGGAAATAGAAATTATCAGCCTCACCGAGCGAGTCCAGTCCCTGAAAAGAGACCACTTGTGTGTTGGAACTGCAACCAACCTGGTCATCCCAGCCGATTGTGTCCAGTTTCCCATGGACAGGGTAACCAAAACAATAACACATATCCTAACTCCAATTCTAATACTCGTGCAAACGATATGGGAAAAGGGAGCGGGCATCAGTAAATTCAAGGGATGATACTGATGTCCAAACGAATACTCACAATTTTCATCCCCCAAACATAGTTCAACACCCTCAGACCAACAACTCACAAGTAAATGCCGTAGAAGTGGTCAGTTCGTCTGTGTCACCCAAACAAATCTACATCAGTCAACAACAAAACAACCCACCACAGAAAGAAGTAGATATCAATGCAGTAAAAAGAAAAATTCGGTCTGAAGAAACACCCTCATCACCAAAAAGAACTGGACAAGTACCTACAATGACATCAAGCACAATGGTACTGCCACCCTTATCAAATATACCAGTTAATGTACCACAAACGCAGCCTTACCAAAATCAGTATGTCACATTACCACCAGTACTTGAAACACGACAACCCCAATCAATGATGGGCCAATTTGATAGCGAAATGATGCCCATACGTGAGATAACAAAGAAAAATAAGGGGAAAAAGAAAAGAAGACCACCTAGAAAATTAGAAGTGGAAGTACCTGTTGAAAAGACATGGGACAAATTGAGAAACACACATATATCTATTCCTTTAGCAGAATATCTAGCTACCAATAGAAAAGCAGCCCAAGATGTAAAACTAGGAATAGCACATTTATACAGAAGAAAGAAGAAGAAGCAACCTGATGCAACAGAACCCATGATTATCAACACCCTCAGAACGAACAAGTTACTGGACGAACAAGCATACAGAAACCAACTCATTAATAACATACATATCACAGATGAAGATAGTGATTATGACACCGACTATGATAGTGCAGATGAAGAAAATAGCAGTAATAATAGCGATTTCTACGACTCTGACGAAGATAGTGATAGTCATGTTGATTATCCTTTTAATGCAGACGAAATGAGATACGCACAGCCATGTCGAGTATTAATTGTGATAAACAACCAACCTGTTGAAGCAATTCTGGATTCAGGTGCTGCTGTTTCAGTACTTAGTGCCAAACTAGCAAATAGATTGGGAATTACTCCAGACACAAGTGACTCTATACCGCTCAGTGGATTTGCTAGTCATAGCAAAACCGTCAATTGTAAAGTAGCAACAGATGTTGAAGTCAGAATTGGTGGCAAATTACGTCGGGAGCATTTTTGCATTGATGAATCTGAAAAAGAGAAGAACACTTGCTTACTAGGAAGACCATGGATCCGTCAACATGATATCAGACTGATCAACAGAGGAACAATGGTTGTAGTACCTACCAAAGGAGGACATGACAACATAGAAGTCCAGTGCTTGATAGACAATGAACATATTGGTAACAAAAATGAAGCACATGAAAATATACAAATATACTCCGTACAATTGTACAACACAAACATACAGACAAAAATAGATACAGGAAATAGGAAATTAGCTGATTTTACTACTTACCAAGAAGATGTAGTGTCGCAACCAGAATTCTTGAAAGAAGTGTTGCCAGAAGATAACCAAGAGTTATCAAAAGAAACAGCTGAACTGGTTAAAAGGTACAAAGATTGTTTTGTTGAATTCAATGGACTAGGAGTAGTAGAAAAAGTATATCATGAAATAAGAACAACCACAGAAGTACCAGTGAGATCAAAACCGTACCGTTTGACCTTGGATGAAGAAGAAAGCCTAAGAGAGGAGCTAGACAATTTACTCAAGCTAAATATTATTAAACCAAGCAAGAGAGAAAAGTATTGCGCTCCTATATTTTTTGTTCCAAAGAAAAATGGGAAGTTCAGACTTGTAGTGAACTATACTCAGCTCAACAAGATAACAGAAAAGCAATCATATCCAATACCACACATAGAGGAAGTACTTGATTCGTTAGGTGGAGCTACAATCTTCTCAACCTTAGACGCCGCACAGGGATTCTGGCAAATTCAGATGCATCCAGATAGTGTTGAAAAAACAGGTTTTGTATCAAAGTTTGGATGTTTTGAATTCAATGTGATGCCGTTTGGGCTGACAGGTGCCCCTTCTACATACCAAAGAGCGATGACAAATATACTTCAAGAGTATATAGGAAAGTTTTTATATGTTTTTATAGATGATGTTATCATATATTCTAGAAACAAAGAAGCACATTTAGAACACTTAGAATTGGTATTTCAAGCCTGTAGGAAAGCCAACCTGCGTTTGCGCCTCGAAAAGTGTAATTTAATGAAGAAAAGAGTGGTATACTTGGGGCATGAAGTAGGTGAAGGACTTCGCCCCGCAGAAGAAAATATCAAGAAGATTTTGAAATTGAAGGAGCCCAAGAATCTTGATGAAGTGAGATCCCTATTGGGAATGACAGGTTATTTTCGTAGATTTATAGAGGATTATAGTTCCAAGTGCCAACCATTAGTTAAGTTGATGAAGAAAAATGCACAATTTGAATGGACTCAGGAACAACAAGATTCATTTAATTACTTGATGAGCACCTTGATCTCACCACCAATATTATCATATCCGATCAGAGATCAAGTCAAGATAATTACAACTGATGCCAGTTACAAGGGTTTAGGTGCAATTTTGTCTCAGTCTCCAGACGGAAGTAATGAGAAAGAAACAATAATTAGCTATGGATCGAAGTCACTTAACAACACCCAACTCAATTACACAGTATCTCATCTTGAAGCGTTATGTATTATCTGGGCTGTGAATAGATACAGATACTACCTCAGTAACAGAACACCATTCGTTATAAGATGTGACCATGCTGCTCTACAGTACATATTTAACAATGACAAACCAAGTCCGAAGCTACAAAGATGGAAAGCTTGCCTCATGGGCTACAACTATAGAGTGGAATACAAAAGAGGTAGCGAAAATCCAGCTGATGCGCTGTCAAGACTAGATTTCTATTAAGCAAGCACATTCATCAAAGGTCGGGTAGGGAGGGATGAACAAAAAAAAAGAGAAAAACAAAAAAAAAAAGAAAAACAAAAAAAAAGAAAAACAAAAAAAAAAAAAGGAAAAAATATATATATATATATATACATATATATACATATAAAGATAAGAAAAAGGGAGGGAGGGTCGGCAAACAAACAAAAAAAAAGAGAATATCAAAAAGGAGATAAAAGATATAAAAAAAAAAAAAAAAAAAAAAAAAAAAAAAAAAAAAAAAAAAACTAAACTAAAAAAGGAGAGGAGGTATATACATAAATATATTACACATCTAAATATTATTGAAACAACTAAACAACTTAACAACTTAACAACTGAACAACTGAGCAACTGAACAACTGAACAACTGAACAACTGAGCAACTGAACAACTGAACAACTGAACAACTGAGCAACTGAACAACTGAACAACTGAATACAAGACAAGCATGGAATACGCCACATACATTGCAATATCGCAACTCATTCAAAGGAAACAATATCCTCAAGACTGCACAGACTCATTCAAAGTGAAGCTAGATCAAATGGCGGAAAAATATTTAGTGTTCAATAGAAGACTCTATACAAAACCGACGGAAAAGCAACCAGAATCATTAGAAGTATTGCATGAAGGAAACATAGGTGAAGTAGTCAAACAAGTGCATGATGAAGGCCATATTGGTATCAACAACACATGGTACAAGGTTAAATCGAGGTTCTATGCAAACAAGCTATTTGAAGTAGTGAAGGAGACGGTGAGAACATGCGAGACTTGTCAGTACAGAAAGAAACAACCAGCAAGAAGAACGAATCCTGCAAAACCTATACCATCAGGAAGCTATCCCTTTTATATGGTTGGGTGCGATGCAGTTGGACCAGTGATCGAGTCTCATGAAGGAAACAAATACATACTGGTAGCAGTCGATTATCTGACAAGATGGCCCATAGCTCAAGCGGTACCAGACATCAATGAAGAAACCACAGCTGCGTTCCTCTACAACAACCTCGTACAACATTATGGAGTGTGTCGATTTCTACTCACTGATCGAGGGTCAAATTTCCTGTCCGGATATGTCAAGACGTTTCTCAAACGAATAGGTTGTCGACACATCACCACCACCAGTTTCCGTCCTCAGACTAATGGTCTGTGTGAACGCATGAATCAAACCTTAGTACAAACAATTGCCAAGCTAGTTAGAGATGACGGAGATTTGAAAACGTGGGATAGAAAGATACCAACAGCACTACTAGCAATACGAACGATGAAAAATGATACTACTGGTTTTACACCTGCCAAGCTGCTATATGGACATGATATAGTGACTCCTGCCTTGTGGCCAGCTCCACGGTATGATTATGTGGAAGGTGAGCTAGACGAAGAAATCAATAGAAGAGTAGAAGAAATTGAAAGGATCATGGAAGAAGTGAGGAAGGAGGCGAAAAAAGCTAGTGATGAGAAGAAAAAGAAGTCCAAGGCACGATACGATATGACAATTCATCACAAACGAATATACAAAATAGGGGAGCAGGACTTGATGAAAGACCATTATAAAGAAACAAAATTTTCTGACCTATGGATTGGACCTTTGACTGTGACCAAGGTGAACAATTCAGGAACGTATCATCTAAGTGGGCCGAATGCAAGAAGATTAGAAGGAGCTGTAAATGGTGATAGTTTGATTCCCTTCAGCAGTAGGAAATCTATGATCCCTGATGTACAAATGAAGAGAAACGAACAAATATTTCAAACTTGGTTAGAAAGAAGAAGCTGATGTAATTTGGTGAAGAGGCGTGAGACATGGCATGAAGAATAGAAAATTACATCATCTGGTTTCCTCGGACCACACGTGACTATCAACTCTTATGCGACTCGGACAATACCTCTTGTGCCGGATCTTCTCTGGTGTGTACTTAAGAAGGAGGTCTTATGCATTTTATTTCTGCAATATTATAACAATAGCTTTTTGACCCGTTTATTTTATTTTATATAATTTGACCTTGCTTTTAACATTGGGAAAACTGAATTGAATAAAGAGAAATTGAAGAACAAATCAGATAGAAAAGAATCGACAATTATATTCAATATCAAAAACAGTCCTAAATCTCACACAACCACATCACACTAAGGCACCGCAAACGTATCATTTTTTTGTCGTACCCAAACTTAGATTCAAGCCCAATGTGAAGAAAGCGGCCAGAAGACACCAGCAGCACTATGGCGGATTAGTTGTTTGACTTTACTAATATTGTTCGCAAAACAAACAAGAAAAAGTAACTTTTTTGCCAATGTTGTTCGAAATGTCAACAACTTTTATTTTATTTTTCTAAAAAGCAAGTCATATCATTCAAAATTATTGATTTTCTTGTTTGTGGGGAACAAACTTGTTCGTTTTGTCAACAATAAAAGTTATGAAGCGACAAGTACTGCGACAATGATAGTAGCTTTATGAGTAAAAAAAATTTTTTATTTTTTCTTACAAGTACAATAATACTAATAATGTTTCTTATAAAAAACAAAAAAAAGGGGTTTGCACAATACAATGCGTTGATGCACTTCTAAGAGTTTGACATGAGACTCATCTAAAAAGAGTATATCGAGTTATGTAGAATATTTAGCAATTGTTTAGGTTTTTTAGCAAAAAATAATTTTTTGGTTTTTCTTGCAATTGTCTTTCTGTCTTACAAATATGAACCAAACGACTATCTACAAAACCACTCAGATGCAACAACAAGTTTCCCAACTCGAAAAAACAATCGAATCACAGACTCAAATACGTAATGGATTGATGCATTTATTAGCACCCTCTTTTGCCTAAAGTGATAGTAATGAGATCAACAGTAAAGTTCTTGAAGCAGCTCAATAAGGTAAAAAAAAAACAAGCTACGTCTTTAGAATATGTATAAACATTTGTTTTTGGAAAATGCAGCAAGAGAAGGCGGTATTGCCCACTCTCTTCATCTAAAATTGATGGGCTTCCGAGACATTCCTAGAGTACTTGAGGAAGCAACAAAAGCATTCGGCTCTCATGGAAAACATAGATATGTTACGCCACGGTTGCGTTTGCTTGCCCTGATCAACTTATTCAAGAAAGAAAGAAATATCACTGATCTTTTAATTGATGATAAAGTAAATGAGAATGACTACAGGATCCTCAGAACAATTGCAAATAATACCCACGATGAAATGGAGTTAGAGTTGCTGAAAGCTTTAAAGAAGAATGACAAAGCAGCTGTGTTGCCTTTATGGTCTGAAGTGTCTTCTGCTCTAATCGCAAAATACACATTTAAGCTTGAAAGCAATGCAGCTACTCATGGCTTTCATCTTCAAAGATGTCAGCATTCCTGGGCAGCCGGTCTATTGCTCTTCAAAACACACAAGCACAGAAGTAATAGAACAAGAAATAAGGCTTCTGTTGTTGAAAGAGAGAATAACTCAAGGATCAGGTATAATAAACGCAAAACATGCATTCAATGAAATTTTAAAATGCCTAACAAGAATTAAAACTATACAGTGAAAACCAAGTTAGTGTTGAATCTCTTCAAAGTGAAAAGCCGTCTTTGGAGTACGCAAACCTATATTGTGGTGATGAATTTGAGGATTCTGAAGAAGACATTTTTTTCGGAATGGAAAACAACTGTTGTCCTTGTTCTCCTTCTCTACCTCTTCCCTCTTCTCAACCTAAGAAAAGGGCAAACGCAATGAAGACAAAAGCCAATCAGCCAAGTCTAATCGTACAAGAAGAAGTAACAAAAAATAGTCACGACCTTAAATAATAAAACAATTTTTTTCCATCATCTTC